CTCCTCCTCCTCCTCCTCCTTCCTTTCTCTGAGTTGCCTTCCCCCTATTCTATCTGTGCCGCCCAAGTCATGGCTTGCCCCCAGCAATCTGCCCCCTTAGCCTATTCTATGAGATAAATGACTTATTTGCAGCCCCAACTATTATTTCAGGTAATTGATTCTCACACTATTGATTTTGTCTGTCTTTTGGGAAGCTTATAGTAAAATTCCTTCTAGCGCCAAGGAGTTTCTTCCTCTCCTTTGCTGTGCACGCGAGGATATTAAACAGGGAGCCTGTCAATAAGAATGCAAATAGCATCTTAAGAAGCAAAGAGGAGTGAAGAAAATCTGAGAAGTAAACCTGATAAGTAGTTAAGGAATTGGTACTTAGAAGGAAAAGAAGAGATAGTTTACTTTACTGCTGTGTGCCCCTCCAACCAGAGTGGATAAAAATCAATGTGTTTTTTTTAAACAAAATCAAATTCATGTAAATCACAATTTAAATAATAATTTAAATTTGAAAAATCAATGTTTAATTTAAATCATTAAAAAACCCATTAAAAATTAAATAATGATTTAAATCAAATCCTCCTGGCCTCTAGCCTATTCTGCCTATAGCACTCTGTTTCTGCTATACATTGTTAGGTAGATGGATATTTTGGCATGGATATTGGTGTAGATATTCTGCAGTTCTTTCAAAGACATTATTGAACAGCAAATCTAAGAGTTGTTTTCTTTAGTAATCTAATAAATATGGTAGCAGTGCTTTTCTGAGTATCGTGACAGTTTCCCATAAGGTTAGGTGTATCCGTCTGCTGCTACAAAAGCTGCCAAACTTTGTAGCAATTTGGCAAGTGTGCATATTTGTTCTGCATTTTTAAGCAAACCAACCTAAAATCAGAATACAGTACAAAGAATCATGTACTGGGGAACATTGTATGCACAAATGTAAACAATGTTAGACTAATGTGAAAGTTGGATAACTTATACCTAAGACAGAATACATCTGAAACTAATAGAAAAGGAAATTAGTAGAGATAAATGCAAAATTCTACACCTAGAGGGGAAAAAATACACACACATTTAGAAGATGGGGGGTACTTGGCCCAGTAATATGACCAGTGAGATAGATCTTGGAATTGTTGTAGATCTCAATCTGAATATGATCCAACAGTATGATGTGACCATAAAAAAAAGGTAGATGCTATTTTAAACTCTAACAGAAGAAGAGCTTCAAAGTGATAATTTCCCTCTTTTGAGGACTGGTTAGGCCTCATATTGAGTACTGTGTCCAGTTCTGGACACCACACTTTAAGAAGGATGCCAGCAGATTGGATCAAGTTCAAAGGAGGGCAACAAGGATGATCAGGTGAACTGGAAACTTAGCTCTGATAGGAGACTGGAAGAACGGGGCATGTTTAGCCTTGAGAAAAGAAAGCTAGGGGGTGGGAAGAGATAAGATCCTTGAAAGATTGTCATACAGAGGAGGGGCAGCATTAGTTTCTGATCATCCCAGAGTGCAGGACATGGAGGTATACCTGGTGAGAACAGAAGACAGGGCTTTCTTGGTGGCTCTCCAAAGTTGTCAAACTCTTTTGCCAAGAAAGCTTCCTTCGTATACTTGTTCTAACAAGCAAAATTGCCTCTTTGGGCAGCCTTTTAGTCCGTAATTGGCAGCCAAGGAGAAAGGCTGCCAAGGAGAAAGATATTATACCTTTTATCTTTTAAAATATGTTTGATGATTGTTTTTAATCTTATAATTTATTGTATTTTGAAGTTTCTGAACATTTCTCTTTTAGATATTTTGTAAACTGTTTTGGATCTCTTTTTGGAAGAAAAGTGGGGTATAAATAAAATGGATGGATGAATAACAGATTTAAAGCAGCATGAATTACAGAGAATTTTGGGGTGGATGGGTGGGAGGGGTTACCACACTTTTAGAAGGTATCTCACTTCCATTTTGAAAAGAAAAATATTCCATAAGACAATAATTCTCCCTTGCCTCCTTCAAGATTTTCTATCCATAATACCCATTGAAGCTTGAACAACCTTCATGAATGTTGCTCACTATGATTTAGGAAGTTTTACATTATCCCAGGGACTGGCCAGTTTTTAGACATATAGGTCTGTGTTAGCCATATCTGAAAATAGATTGTATGCATCATACTCTGACATTTTCTTTTGTATACCACAAGGTCCTTTTGGTATGCATGAAGCATTTATTTTAATCTCCACTGGAACCTTCATAAACAATGCTAATACAGTATACATCCTTCATAAGGGATGCCAATAAATTCTTTGTTCAAGCTATTTGAAGTCAGAGTCCACATGGGAGCACTGTGCACTGAAAGTGGTCAGCAAATAATTCTTGCAGCTTATGGTAATAGTAGTTCCTTGGAAAGAGGCATTTCATGTTTGCATATGTGGGTATATACTTATATTTGTGTACCATATTTCTTAAACTAACTGTTGTGTCCCTCATTTATTTATTTATTTATTTATTTATTCAAACCATTTTCACCCCACCTTTCTCCTTAAAAGCACCCAAAACAGCTTGCAACAATTAAAAGACAATATTTAAAAGCTAAAACAGTAAGCATACAAATATTTAAAAAGAATTAAAAAGTTTAAAAAAATCAATACTAAAAACACATTTAAAAACAAAAGAGCACTACAGTCCATTAAAAATAAAAATATAAATATATAAAATCTTCTCAGGCCTTCAGTCACTAAGGGAAAGACGGCCTGAAGAGAGAGGTCTTTGCCTTAGCTTTCCTTTGGGTTGGTTGCTGTCTGGCCTCACATTTTAAACTGTAGCTTCTGTTCTGAGCCAACAAGTGAGGAATGGTGGCCTGACTGGGCTGCAGGTACCTGGAGATGGATGCTGCATTTACTGACTCTGGTACCGTAGTCAAGAGCTAAGGTGTAACAAGCCATAAGGAATGAAGCTGTGTTCCTGTGAAGCCACATGCTCTTTCCAATGAATTCTTTTCCACCAGGTTGATTTTACAGATAGAGCTCCTGGTACCAGAAATGTAAAGGCTCTCAGTTTACTTTGCCAATAAAAATGGGCTGTTCATACCATTTCAAATCTCTATTCATTGAATCCGAGGGAATTTAGAATGGGAAGTTTCTTCTGCTTCAGCTGGTGTCCTGGCCAAATGCAAAATAATGTTAAGAGTGATTGTCAACATATAATTGCTGTTATAGCAAAGCCATAAAACACTGTAATTAAGGCTGTTAGTTGTTACAAGAGCAATTAACAGTAAAGCTGACCTTCCATTCTGGATTGCAGTTTGTTGGCACCAGTTAATATGGTTGAAATGTGGCTGAGTGCCATTCCTACTTGGCAATTTGCCTTTCTGAAGGCATACTGAATTAGGTTCTGCTAATACCAAAGATTCCTTGGGGCATATTTGTTGTCTGACCTATCGTAGGTTTCTCCTGTGATCCAGACACAACTGTTATGCCTCCCTCCAACAAGGTGCTTCTGCATCTGAAGTGACATGTATTTCCTGCCATGCAGCGTTTGCCATGGAAGTGTGCAACACATTCAACCTTCTGCATCTGAAGTGACATACATGTATTTCCTGCCATGCAGAGTTTGCCATGGAAGTGTGCAACACATTCAATGGTGAAATGACTTCCTTAAAATGCACTGCATCTGGTCAGTAGCAGATTGGAGCTGTTTAGAAACAAGAGCCAAGAAGCTTGACTTTCAGTTTTTTTGTGTGTTTCTTGCCTTTTTCTGGCGTGTGTAAACTTGGCTGTCTGTTTTCCTGCATTATAATCGGATTTATCCAGTTGGCCCCATGGATGTCTAAATGATTCAGACAATTTTTAAAGGAGTAAATGGGATTCCTGTTTGTGCACTGTTCCATTCATGGTACAGTTGGAGATAGTGTACTCAAGGCTGAGGAAGAATGTTCCCCTCCTTCACCACTCCATTCACAGTCAGTGAAACTGAAGAGACAGTCACAGATTCAAACTGGATGATACAGTACCATTAGCACTCCACTGGAAGCAGAGCTTCCTTAAGAGTTAAACTATGACTGTTTATCCTATTATGAACTTCCCTTGCCTCACATGTTGCAGACAAACTGTCTTTTCTTTTGCAGCTGGTGATGCTGAATAGCTCAATGGTTTAGGTCTCTGTCTGCAAACCCAGAGTTTGAGAGTTCAGTTCCCCACTGTGCCTTCTTGACAGGGGCTGGACTCAAGGATCCATAGGGTCCCTTCCAGCTCTGGAGTTCTAAAACATTATTTGTCTCATGACAAATAAGACGACCAGTGGTTTCAAGCCCGGTTGCTCAGGCACACCCTTTGAAAGAATTGTGTACCTGGTGAGAAAATAGTATCATAGCAAGAAATACCCATTTATCCTAAAGTGTAATTTTTAACCCAGAATTGGAGGAGGAGCATTTGAGGGCTGGGGGTTTAGCTTGTACAGTGGTGCCTCACTTGACGAGGATAATTCGTTCCATTGAAAGCACTGTTAAGTGAAATCCTTGTCAAGCGAAATGAAAAAGCCCATTGAAATGCATTGAAACTGGTTCAATGTGTTCTAGTGGGCGAAATACCTCAGTGTCCAGTGAAGATCCTCCATAGGGCGGCCATTTTCAGTGCCTACAAAGTGAGGAATCCATCCTGAAAACACAGCAGGGAGCCATTATGCACAGTGGGCAGCCATTTTAGAGTCGCCAATCAGCTGTTTCAAAATCGTTGTTTAGCGAAAAATCGGTTCCTGAAGCAGGGAACCGATCATCGATAAGCGATTTTTTACCATTAAAACATCATTTTGTGAATGTGATCGCAAAAACTAATCGTCAAGTGGTTTCATTGTTTAATGAGGTAAACGATCGCGAAAGCAATCGCAAAAACTAATCAAGTGGTTTCGTCGTTTAACGAGGTAATTGTTAAGCGAGGCACCACTGTATTGGTGATAGTGGTGGTAGCAGTAGTAATGGCATCAGCATCTTTCCTTCTGTTTTCCCTCTCTTTAAGTTTTTTTGCTGTTGCAGATAATATGTGTGGCTGCTGCCTGAGCTTGGAGAACCCTTCCCCCATAGTGATGTGAAGCCCCCCTCCCAGTCACACAAGGTATGAGCAACTAAAAATCATCTTATAATGGAAAAAAGTCTAGTAAAGTTAACAATTGTGTTCAGTGCACAGTGAAGATGATAATAAAGCTGGCCTTGGCAGCAGAATCTATCTTGGACCCATTACTGCTCAGGAAGAAACAGTAAAACATAAAAGCAGCCTTTTCTAATGCAACAAGCATACACTGTGTGTATGAATTGTAAGCTGAAGATAACAGTGTGAGGTGACCTCTGGAACAACTTGGCTCCTTGCCTTCAAGAAAGAAGGACCTGAACTTGGCCAGAGATGCTGTTGCAGAGGAGGAGAATAATTCACAGCCCAGCAGTGGTTCACCTGAGATTCATTGGCATCCATTGTAGCAGGATAATATGAGCAGTTGCTTTGAAGTTGGCTTAAGACCAAAGCCTGTTAAGCCAATGGGCAGAGAGCAAAAAGAATAATTTGCCCTCAGTACCAGTACAAGCTGCAGGATTCAAGCTTTAGCATTATGAAGTGGAACCTTCCCAAGGGACAGGAGCAGTGATCTGCATTTAGTCAGCTGTTTATATTTTCCACAGAATAAAGTTGCAGCATAGACTTGTATGCTTTTCTCATGTAACAAAATCTCTCTCTCTCTTTCTCTCTTTCTCTCTCTCTCTCTCTCTCACACACACACACACAGAGAGAGAAGCAACATGATGCTGTCTGCCACATATACACACTCTCAGAGTAAAGTGATTAGATGTGTTTGGATACTATAGTATAGACAAGTCATTGGAAAGAACTCCCTTTGAATCCTTCGCATTACAGATGCACAAGAGTATAGCTATGTTATTGTGCAGCAGAACAAATTAATATTCTACAGGGCAATTCTAAAAATGGGTGCAGCCCGAACAAAAAAAAATGTTAATTTTAAACTCTGCTTCATACTCTGCCTCTCTAGAGTGATGCCGTACAATTATGTCTGCCAGGGACACAGAGGTCTGGAGGAGTTTTGCTGATGGCACTGGTGCCATTTTCCCATTCTGTTTCATCCAGAGTACAGTTTTGGAAGAGGGCTGAATTTTCAGTTCAGAATTGCAAAACTGTAAATGCAATTCCTGTTGAGGAAACATGCCTCCCCCCAAGATTCTTTTCTGCAGCCGGCACTTGTAGTGTCATTTCCCCATTAGAGGTAAAGCAATATCTACAGTGGTGTCTCGCTTAACGGGCGCTCCGCTTAGCGATGAAATATAGACAAGTCATTGGAAAGAACTCCCTTTGAATCCTTCGCATTACAGATGCACAAGAGTATAGCTATGTTATTGTGCAGCAGAACACATTAATATTCTACAGGGCAATTCTAAAAATGGGTGCAGCCCGAACAAAAAAAAATGTTAATTTTAAACTCTGCTTCATACTCTGCCTCTCTAGAGTGATGCCGTACAATTATGTCTGCCAGGGACACAGAGGTCTGGAGGAGTTTTGCTGATGGCACTGGTGCCATTTTCCCATTCTGTTTCATCCAGAGTACATCTAGACTTCCTTTGCAAGTGCTAGCTGATATCGTATCATTTTGTTCCTTCCTGTCAGTATTTTTCCCCTCTTGGACTCTTGAACTTTTTTTGTTTTGGAAGAGGGCTGAATTTTCAGTTCAGAATTGCAAAACTGTAAATGCAATTCCTGTTGAGGAAACATGCCTCCCCCCAAGATTCTTCTCTGCAGCTGTCGCATGTAGTGTCATTTCCCCACTAGAGGTAAAGCAATATGCTTCTACTGTATCCTGTTCTGCTGCGCCTTGAGTCCCACCTAATCAGCTCCAGTCAGGTGGAAGCAGAGTTGTTTGAAGCAGAATTCAGGACCCTGGAAAGCTCCTAGTGAGCCCTGCTGGCTGAGGTATGGCATAAATTTGCCTCAGACAAGTTGTTCTTTGTGAGTACAGTATAGTACTTGTAAAGGCAGACAGGCCCACTGAAGAGCTGACTGTGTTCCCCAAAGAGCTTTAATCAGACTGAATGCTGAGGTGTTTATAAATCTGGAGGAGGCATCTAGAGTCTTGTTCTTTAAATCAGAAGATGAGGGGGGGGGCTACAGAAAGAGGAGAAAGTATGGAAAGTGTTCCCTCGAGAAAAAAGATTTGAACTTGAGTCTTCTTCATGGCATGCTGGGGCCCAAGGATCAGTTTCTTTGAGAAGTCCACAGTAGGACAAAATGCATCCACAGCTGAAAGCATGCACAAATGTTTCTGCCTTACAGTTTCCCTGCCTAAAGGGAAATCACTTCACGGTTAGACAGGGAATGGTAGAGGATGTGACACTTCTTAATTCTTATTGAGGGCTTAGTATGCCCTCACTAGGTATAATAATCCAGAAAGTCTCAACTCCTGTTAGTGCAATCAACTGGATTGTCCTCTGCCTCTACTGTAGTTTAAAAATAGCTTAGCACAAGGAGGCAACAAAGCCCAGCTGTAGCTTCCAAGCCCCGTTGCCATATGTGTTGCAGGATAGCTGGAAATACTGGTAGAGGCATGTTGATACCGCCTGAAGCTGTCTGTTCAAAGGGCAGGAAGAAAATGCCTATGACCTGAGGGACCTAAGCACTGTGCGAACAACAACTTCTAATGCAAATTCCCACAGCCACAATAGCATTGAATAATTTACAAGCTATCTATGGAAGGGAACGTTTGCATTAAGCATTAATTAGATTTCTGGAGATTTTCAGAGGCACAGAGGACCATGTGGCTTTATAGCTCTTACCAAAAGCATTCAAAGTTTTGTGCCTAGTTTCCATTTCAGCATCTGAAATAGTCCCCATTACCTTAAATCCAAATGTCTGTGATTCAGATATTTTGGCAGGTTTTTGTAAGTTGTAGAATGAGTTTTTAAAAATTGAAAAATGGTGTGGATATTGACAAAAACTAGTAAAGTGTGAAATCATCTATTATATTTCAGTTCTGTACATACTATCCCTGAAAAGACACTGAGAATCTGTTAATTCAAATACAAAATGCCGATGATTTCCTTGAAATTGCATATCTTCTTTTAATTGTGAAGATTGCCATATCAAAGATTGCTTGCAGCTGCTTACAGACATCAAAGGGAGTCAGGTTAAAACAAGTGTAGTAGATGGTCTGGATTTCAATATGTTATTTGTGCTTGTTTTTCCTATGGTTCCATTGCAGTACATTTATGCTGTGTTTAGTTTTAATTTCTTCAAAAATTTAATGATAGCTGGGACCTGTCTGGTGATTCTCAGGTTTCAGAATTGTCCCCATAATTGACTCTGGTATTGGAATGGAGGTTTCTGAATTGCTTGTATACTTGTTTGTTTTAAACTTGTTGTATACTTGTTTGCTTGTTTTATGGCTATGTTTGATGTTTTTACATATTACAGAGATTGTGTGGATCTGGGTTGTCCACTTCTCTGTATGATAGGTCTAAGGACTATAAATAAAGAGTTGATTGAGTACAAGGTGGCTTGTAAGGAGATCATCACCCCACTGTTTAAAGAAAAAAAAATAGACTTGAGTTTCTTGATATAGACCCCAAGATCACTTATCAAATAGATTTTGTAAGGTCTTGGAAATTCCATGGTAACTAGATACTAGATTTTAAATTGTGTTTTTTTAATGAAGTACCTGAAATTTTTAACTGTTGTGGTATCTAGATACTAGATTTTAAATGTTTTTTATGTCAAATGTTTTACAAGGTATTTGAAATTTTGGAAACTGTAAGTGCTTATGTTCCCCCCCCACCCCGTGTGATTGGTCTAAGGACCGTAACAATAAACTGTACTAGCTGTGTTATTTCAATGATAGAATCACTATAAATTGCTTTTGATTACATGTTCAACTGGAAGTTAGAATAATGAATGTCATATTCATTCACATCTTCGTTAAATACTTTATTCGACCTCATTTTCATCAGTCCATTCAACAAACAATTGCAGCAGATTGCTCAATTTCTCAAATAATTCACATTAAAATCCTTTTAAAAATATACAACCTGTTTGATTTTCCATTAATGGCCAAGAACCTGTTGATTAGCATAACAAGTCAAAAGTAGAGTAGACCCCATTCAATCAATGGGGATTTGGTGAATCATCTCCTTCATAAGTTTTATTGATTCAGTGGATCTACTCTGCTTGCTAGTTACTGTGCTGGGTAGCAGGATTTCAGCCAATGTGTGCATTTACCTGTAAGAAAAATGGCTGTATAAAAAGCTGTTATTCCTCTGTGGAGTAGAGTATTCAAGGTAACAACCAAGGGCAAATATATTTTGTAAAGAAAATGCCTATGTAAGAAAATATTATGCAGGATTCAAGAGAGAGAAGAGGAATGGCTTTTGATATACTGTTCCAGAAACAGAAAGAGCAGACATGTGGCCCATCCATAGAAGCAGTTATGGTTTAAGTAATATTTTCGGTAACAAATCACAAGTAAGGCAAGTTTTTGAATTCTTCAGAACTTCTTTGCAGAGGTCAAATGCTCAACTTATTTATAACTTTTGACTGAGCCAATACAGATATTATCTAATTCAGAGCTTAAATCAAAAAATGTCTTACTTTTGAAAATGACTAAAATATAAAGGTGTGTGCCAGCTTCAAATATCCATGAACATTAAGTACATGTCTCTAAAACTTAGTGGCTGACATGTAAGAAGGATCAATTTCCTCTAGCTTTCTGCCTCTGCTGTGCTGAAAAAGGGGAGTCTGCATATGCTGTCATTATTGCTAAAGATATTTCCCTGAAGTCCATTAGCTACGGTGTGAAAATTGCCTCCCTCTGGCACTTGCTGCTAATGGATATTGAACACACAGCACAACACAATCTACTTTCTAAAGAGAGGCTAGTTTGCTAGCTGTGGGTAAAAGGATTTGTAGTGCAACACATCTGATTGGCATTGTGTTCAGGAAGACTGCTTAAGAATGAGCATCACAAAGAGTATAGGGAGTTCTGATGCGGAGAAGGGCTTTAGTCCTCAGTGCAAGTGTTGGTGCAACGTAAGATCACAGAGGAATGGTTGCTGACTTGAAGAAGGCAA